TTAGTCCTTCCTTGAGCTTAGTAATTGAGACTGATGCTTCAGTTATTTATACTATTTTAACAATAACATATGATTCTTGCAAATATCTTACATGACATATTAAACTAGTGGGCATCTAAGGGTTTCTGCATGTGTACTCTTTTAAAATATTTGTTGTGACATCTGTTGCCTGATGGTTTATGCCTTATGTTAGTCCTTCCTTGAGCTTAGTAATTGAGACTGATGCTTCAGTATTTATACTATTTTAACAATAACATATGATTCTTGCAAATATCTTACATGACATATTAACTAGTGGGCATCTAAGGGTTTCTGCATGTGTCTCTTTTAAAATATTTGTTGGCGATTGCTTCTGTTTCTATGTCTATATCTAATTTTATTTTCAAAGTTTCTCAGTGGGAGTGGTGAGATGTGTGCAATGAAAGAGGTTACATTATTTTCTGATGATGCCAAATCAAAAGAAAGTACTAAACAGTCAATGCAGGTAAGCCATTCTCCATCAGCTTAAGAAATTTTCAATTGTTTGGATGATGCAAAAAGCAACAATGCTTTCCTCGTTATTCTTTAACTTGTGTTATAGCTTTAGAAGAAATTCATATTCTGATTGCTCAGACAGGAAATTGCTTTATTGAGCCGCTTATGGCATCCAAATATCGTTCAATACTATGAGTCTGAAAGGTGTGTCCTATATCCAACAATCTGTTCGTCTATTATGGTTATTGAAAATTGTTATAAAGATATCAGGAAGCTGCATTGACTAATGGGTTCTTTCCTAAAGGGTTTTTCTTTTATATATTAAAAATAGTGAACCGTATAGTGTTACGAAACTTTTGGGAATTGTTTTTATGGTATCATAACTTACTAAACACTATTACTTGTTAAGCAATTTCTTACAAAAATAAATCATAACGATGCTTCTCTTACAGAGCTTTCAAATAAATTCCTGAACAGGTTGATGACAAGCTTTACATATACCTTGAGAATGTATCTGGTTGGTCTATTATAAAATCCTCCAGGAGTACGGGCAGCTTGGTGAACTAGTAATTCGCAGTTACACTCAACAGATCTTGTCTGGGCTTTCCTACCTACATTCTAAGTCTACTGTCCATAGGTGAGCAAGTTATTCTATTCCTTATCTGATTTGTTAGTTAGAACTACACTTCATGGCGTCTGCCTAGTAATATTTGCATCAAGGAAATATTGTTCATCTTATAATTCTTGTACAGAGATATTAAAGGAGCAAACATATTGTAGACCCTAATGGCCATGTTAAGTTGGCAGACTTTGGGATGGCAAAGCATGTAAGTGTGGGAGTAATCACTTTTTGTTATAAACGAACCTAATCAGAGTAATTGTAGCTAACCCTTTACTCCTTTAGCCAAAAAAAATTGCAGCTACCCCAAGCTTGAAGTTCAAATACGAATTATTTAATGCTATATTATTATTCATTGATTTGACCTCTCGTGTAAGGTTATTTCCTACTTATAATATACGCTTAGCAGATTGCAGGGCGGTCGTGTCCATTTTCGTTTAAAGGAAGCCCTTACTGGCTGGCACCTGAGGTTAGACTTAATTTTCTCATTAGGTTTATTTCAAATTCTTACCAGTCCACCGCCAATGGGAAATTGACATGTTTTTTCAGTTTGAGATTTCTTCAGTTGTGTAGTTCTCTTTATAACATATCTCAATTTTTTCTATTATTTTCCCAGATTATAAGAAACCCTAGCGGTTGCAACCTTGCTGTGGATATATGGAGTCTTGGGTGCACTGTTTTGGAAATGGCTACAACGAAACCTCCTTGGAGTCAATATGAAGGGTCTGTTATAACTTTTACAAAAATAAGAAGATGGGATATTTTAAATTTCAAATCTGTTTAATGTGCCTATAATAATAGCAGTTTTTTTTATTTCTACTATGTAATATGTGTATGTCAGGTTGCGGCTATGCTCAAGATTGGAAATAGCAAGGAACTTTCACCCATTCCTGATTACCTCTCTGATGAAGGAAAAGATTTTGTGCGCCAGTGTTTGCAACTCAACCTACAAAATTATCCTACTGCAGTCCAGCTTTTAGGTCACCCGTTTATAAAATATGTTGCAACTCTGGAAATGCCTGTTCCAGATGCTGAGCCTTCAGATCCTGCCCTGGTGTGATAAATGGGGTGAAAACCCTGGTAATTACCTTTTTTATACTGCTTTGTCTAGTCCATAATTAGGCTTTGAGCCTGAATTAATTTGTTGCATTCATTACCTTCAACAGTTAATTTAGGGTATGAAATATATAATATATCAAATTATAATCGAAATAAATTTCAATAAAAATGTAAAATGGGTGACGTAGTCCTTTCTGGAATTTCCTTACTTGAAATGGTGATGCAGTCATACACTGGATGATAGGCTGTCATGTTTTCAACTTAAGTAATTTGTTCCAAGTGCTCAATAATTTTTTCTAGTTTTCATCACTTCATATGCAAAAGCTCCAAGATTAGCTGGAGGAAAACTGAAGGTATGATATGATATCTACAGTCCTAGTGCACTTATTTCTTGTGTTTGTTGTGGTGGGTGGGAAGGGGGTCTTTGGGGGTTGGGGAATGTTGCAAGATATAAATCAAGGTCTTGTCATGCCTAGGCTACACAAGTTTAGTATGGACCATTAATACACACCTGTGGCAGTAAATAAAACACCATGTTAACAGAGAAAATTGTAAATATGCCTACGTCAATACCCCCATGGAATTTTGGTACGAGCCCTTAAATCTCATTAGAATTTTCACTCAAAACAGAGAAAAGTGTTGGATAACATAGTCAACTTATTTACAAGCTTTTTACAACCAGCATTTCACAAGTGAATTTGTTAAGGATGAAAGTGATGAAATTCTTGAAACTCATGGTTGACTAGTTGCAAGGATAAAAGGGCAAAAAGCCTAAAAGAGCCCCATATTCAAACATCTGGAAGATTCTTAATAAGTTGTTCTGGTAATGTAGAGAACTTCACTGATGATAGGGTGATGCAAACATGCTTATTAAACTCAATAGGAAGTGTTCTAAAATTTTACTTGTGCAAGCAGTGCTGCTCTTTCTGTGCCAAGTCCTAGTTACATTCTGCCTTTTAACTGCAATACTTGACTATTGGCAGGGATTGGTTACCTACTGGTTACTTTCTCATTTAGTTTTTTATGTCATCTTTCTTTGGTTCAGATTTTTAAGTGGTTTGTTAGGCATGCTCGTATTTTTTACCTGGGTTTGTTTATCATGTTTAGTTCTTGATTGTTCACATTTAACCGAACTTCATCAGGGCATTGGACAAGCAAGAAATTTTTCCTCCTTGGAGTCGGAGCAACTTTCTGTTCATTCGTCCAGAATTTCGAAACTGCACGCCAGGTCTGTCTCTCTCTCTTACATACACAAACTTGAAAATAGATGATAAAAATGATTTCAGTACTGCATGTTTCTGAGTCTCATTTCATTTCCATGTTATTGCAGTGATATCAATATTCCTAGGAATGCATCTTGCCCTGTTCCACCCATAGGAAGCCCTCTTCTACATTCAAGGTCACCGCAACATCTAAATGGAAGAATGTCTCCTTCTCCCATATCTAGCCCCCGGACCACTTCAGGCTCATCTACACCCTTGACAGGTGGCATTGGTGCTATACCTTTTGGTCATCTGAAACAATCAGCTTACTTACAAGAGGGTTTTGTAAGCATGCCAAAGCCCTCGAATGGTTTTTTTTATCAGTGGCTCCTCCCTTCACGATAATAATCCCGACATTTTTCGAGGTCTGCAAGCAGGTTCACATATCTTTTCTGAACTGGTGCCATCAGAAACTGATTCGGGAACTGAAAGATTGGTTCATGGGGAATCTTATGATGGACAGTCTGTATTAGCTGATCGTGTTTCTCGACAGCTTCTGAAGGATCATGCAGCTATGAGCCCATCCCTGGATCTAAGTCCCAGCTCTCCTTTACCTAGTTGGAGTGTTATTATCTAAACACAACTTTGAAGACTCGATCAGAATTTTTTTGGGTCGTACGGGATCTCAGTTTGACTTATGAGGCAGCAAATCGTTCAATATGGGACCAGAAAATAAATTTGAGGAATAAGGTTGAAGTGCAAGGAAGTAGTTGTAGGTCATTTGCCAAGGATCAAGGTTTAGTCTCGATGCTTTGTGATTGATAAGGCTATGGACAAATGATTCCGGCTAGATGTTTCAGTTGAAACTATTATAAGTGGTTATTTAACACGACGGATGCCACATGAATCTGTACAGAGTTGAGTGTGTAAATCGACTAATGCTTAACTGGACTGCGGTGATAAAATGTTCACAGGCAGGCTTCTGATCATAATATATTATAGGCAAAATGACTTGGCTGCAGGAAAATCATATATCATTCTAGAGGAAGAACTAAGTTGGCCAATCATTACCTTTAGGACAAATATATTTGGTCAAACTTGACATAGAGGTACAGATATTGAAGGAAATGAACTAGAATTCCAAGTTTTGGGATGAGCAGTGGGACATTCAGTCAAGGGCAAATCTCCATGAAGCTGGCCTGAAGAAAATTTTGCATGCCGTGCCTGACTTCAATTGTAATTTTTCTATACTGATGTAGGGCTCAACATGATCCATTGTACGTGCATTAAAACTAAGGTAAATTGAAAACATTTAATGCTATGGTCCAGCACCAAATTTGAGCCGTGAAATGAATTCGCAGTTGTGTAGTTGAATGCTTCTTTAGTGAATTGTTTAACAGGCATGGTAAAGTGTATTAGATACAAGAAAACGTCACTCCAACTATCTAAGGAAATCAGTTTATTCACTTGTAAAGCCCATAAATCATGACATGATTCGATGCGTCATTACAAGTTCACCATATTAATCAACTACGAAACATTCATTTTTACAAAGATTTTGGCACGTGTCACAAACAGATAAATACCTATTCTCATGTTCAAAGCTAGTATTTGAAAATATAAATAAAATAAGTCGGAAAACAGAATTATCAACACAATACTACTGATTGTTGTAAAATTATTAGCTCCATCACACTGGTTCAATATACATAAACCTTGTTGAGGTGCGACTGTTATTGCCTATATATTTCTCATTTAACCATCTTCATGCTGAAATCCCAGAGTTTCTTGGCCAACTCAACATTCCTTCCATGCTCGCTTGCTTTCCCCATATTACTGTCCTTGAAATACTCACCACTTTTACCCTTCACTTGTGGTGCAACGCCACATAGCATGTTGTGGCAGCTCCCTGTGACCATATAAAATTATATAACTGAAGTAACGGATTCGATTGTTTCACTGAATTTTAATGAAATTATATTGCATTCCGAAAAGACTGGCCCATACCCTCGTTTCATTTTTGTATAAAGTAAACAATTAATCCCGATTATAAGGTATTGCTTTATCGAGTCATTAATTATTAAAAGTTACAAAATGTCTCTAACTATAAGGTGTACTTTGTTGAGTCTTATGATTATTTATAGTTATAAAATAGTCACCCAAGTATTAAAAGTTGCATCCATAGTCATCCAACTATTCATGTATTCCAAACTCATCATTTTCTGTTAAAAAACTATGAGTCATTTGAGTTAGATGTTATTCTGCTCACTGGGATATGATAAAATCTCATCTCAAAACTGTTTTAGCTGTATTTTATGGATCGAGTCTCTGTTTACATTATGCCGTTGAGCAGCCAATGTTTGAAACATTATTCCGTCGAACCAGTGCTTGTAAGAAACGGAAGTGCCAATAGACATCATTAAAATATGATTTTATCATATCAAAGTCAGCAGGTTAATATTCAACTCAGGCGACTTTCAATTTTTTTAACGAATAAGGATGAGTTTGGAATATATAAATACTCGTGCGATTATTTTGTAATATTTAATAGTTGAGTGACTCAATAAAACAACACCCTATAGTCAGGAGAACATTTTATAACATTTAATAATCAGGGAACTCAACAAAGCAGAGCCTTAGAATCGAGGGACTATTTGTGTCCTTTACCCTTCATTTTCTGTACGAAAGTATGCAGTCAAAATGATAGATTGAGGGCTATATACTGCTACAACCAGTTTTAAAGGCATAATCTGAATTGGTAATGCTATGTGAAAGGAGCTTACCTGCTGGACGTTTTTAAGTGCAATCTTACCAAAGATATTAACAAGCCCTGCATCAAGATCAAAACAAATTTGAGGATGAGATGCCATGCTACGTCATGCAACCATGTCGATAACTAAGACATTACCGGCAACAGGACCCAGATTGATATGGCGGAAAAGATTGGTGGCAATTGTTCCTGGGTGAAGTGAATTTGCAGTTATATCCACACCATCTTCCTGTTCAATCAATTGGTGAACATCAATCATTATGCAAAGTGTGCCTAGTAAGACACAGTATAAACACCATATGGACTACTGAACACAACATCAACATGCAAAAAACCTCAATAAATGTTTGACATGTTTCAAAAAGGAACTTCAACTGTACAAAATTTAGACATTCAAGTGGAGGCAACCTGCAGAAGAAACAGAAAATGCCTACTCAGATTTAGCTTTAGACCTGGCAACCTATGTATGAGGGGTGTCTCATTATTGTTATTATTATAATTTATGTCAACTGTGAGCCTAAATACAGCAAAAGTTATTAAATGTGTCAAAATTCTAATAAGAAATACAATGCGTCATTTTTGTCTCGTGTACAAAACTTCAAGAATCCTCCCAAAGACAACAGCAAGGACAAAAGTTGAACTTCACCCACCTTCAACTCATTCAAATGTACCAAAATAGGCCAAAAAGCCGACAACTTTACTACTGATAATAATCTTTGATCCCATGGGAAAAAAAATCACATACCTTTAGGCGTCTTGCTAGTTCGTTAGCATGCAGAACATTAGCAAGTTTTGATTGGCCATATGCAGCAAAACTGCTGTACCTGTACATTACCAAATTGGAAAATATGATAAAAGATAACTTTATTCTGCTTAATGGAACTACTGCATCATCTTACCGATAGCTGTCAATGGTTACAATAGGCATCCAAATCAAAGATAAAAGCAAAAACACTGAAGCGGAGATAAAGTTTAATAATTTATCATTTACTCCAAAATCATTTATATATTTAATTTATCATGTTATTGTTATCTAATATATAAGGATGATAAGTTTTTTTTAGATAATTCACTTAAATAAATTTGATTATTTACCTACTGGATAAATATGCAAAAAATTTTAGTTTTCTACTCTTCATTCCAAGAAATTACGTATTTTGACGCCTACTAGCTAGCTTTGTGGATCATTCAATTCATTCAAGGGGAAAAAAAAGAACTCCATAGTTTTCTCTCTTGACGAAAACAACTTTCTTTTATTTTCTATTGTTTTTTAGGTTTACTTCTTTTCTTTCCCAAGACTATTCCTAAAGTATCTTTTGTTACTCAACTGGCTCTTCTCTAATTCAGGCTGCATCAACCACAAAATCTTATAATAGGCATAAATACATAGAATGTCTTAATATCAAACAAGTAAATTTAAATGACACTGATGTTAGCTGTCACTCTAAGAAGCATTACATATATCATATATGTTAACTGTGGTAAAAGTCGGCATGGCAAAGTTTAAGAGGTATGCTCAACTTCTTCCAGAACAAACATGTATTTCCCAAAAAGAAATAAAAATTTGTTGTTCCTAAGGATTGCATAAATCAATGCATTTCAAAGAGGGTATATGGTGTTACCCTGACTGATCATTAATCTTGTCAAAACGGATTCCTTCCTTGTACGTGTAACGGTGAGCTTCTGATGAGACATTTATAATTCTTCCTTCTTTTTTGCTTGCCCGTGCAGTTTTCTTCATGGTGTCCAGCAAGAGGTGTGTCAAAAGAAAATGACCTGTTTATAACATTCAAAAGTTTAGAACAAAGCTTTAACAATGGCCTACTTCTCCGTTTTTTTTCTCCCCTTTCTTGAAGCAATCAACCACCAAACTCTATGCAACAGAAAATGCAAACAGCAACTTTTGTGGTAGCAAACAGGCTATTGTGTAGGTTTAGAATTTAGAAAGTGGAAAATGAGATGGAAAAAACTATCTTTATTGCCAGATGTTCAAATTCACAAGCAATGCAAAAATAAGCTGATTCCATGAAAAAACACAGGTAAAGAGTATTCATTACCTTTACAGAGTTATTTGTTAATGCCATTAGGATTGATTTTATGCTAAGCATACCTATGTGGTTGGTTGCAAACTGTAGCTCTATGTTGTCCTTTGAAAGCATGAAAGGAGATGTCATAATTCCTGCATTATTACTGAAAGCAAAGAAAACAAAATTAAATTACAGCCTGCACGACTCTGTCGCACTTATCATGCCTAAAGAGACTGGCAGGAGATGACTATTATACTCGATCACTACTCCATCCGGCTAGGAAATGATATCCAAAAGGCTTCCTACTGTTATTTTCTACTTACATAAGAAGATTCAGCGGTCGACCGGAGGAGCTGAAAGCTGATGCAAATTTCCTCACTGATTCCATTGAACTGAGATCCAATTCCATTGCATCAACTTTAGCTGTTGGAATTTCCTTCACAATTGCTTCTTTGACATCTTTACCAGCAGCCACATTCCTTACCCCCATGACTACATGAACACCGCGCAAAGCAAGAACACGTGCTGTTTCAGTACCAATACCACTGGATGCTCCTATAATCACATTGGCCACGAAAGAGTAACTATGATGGTTAAAAACATGATAATGAGTTGAATCAAACAACTTATGCAACGTGTATGGGGTTAAGACTAAGTAGCTATCAAGTCAAAGCCAAGGCAAAAAATCATGGAACACAACAAACCAAAGCATCTTTTCAATCCTCTTATATAAAGAGCAAGGGTCTCAAAAATGCTTACATCCCCAAGAAAGATCATGAAAACGACATTCATCGGATCATATTTTCAGTGTTGGTACAAGGAAGCTATGGAAAGTAAATTAATATGTCAGATGCCCCTACTCCCTAATGGCAATTTCCCCCAGTTTGATTATCAGAATATCTATTAATGGCTACCTTACCCAGACTCCCAACTAGGTGACTGAAATTGGGTATGTGACTGTCTAAAACGAGTATAGTCGATTCTCTTATAGTTTTGTAAATCTAGAGGACCGTACCATATCCATGTAACATATGCAAATAGCGTCTGACAACACCATATGGCATCGCATGATCATCGAATTAGAACGTGCTAACGTACAACAATTAAAAAAAGAAACGCTTTCCGTTTATTCACTGCCTAGCAAATTACTTCCCCAATCTCAATAAGAGTAAAGAACGCGGCCAAAGTTAAAGACACCAAGTAACAAACACAAAGTAGGCAGAACAGAGTCCATCAATTTCTACAGCTCAAATTCTCTATCAACATAAATCCAACAGTGTCAAACAGCAAAATCTTGCTCACAAGATTAATCATAATTCAGTTAATATCAATAAGAAAAAATCTAGGAAAATCACATTACATTCGAAAAACAAATACGTGCAGAAAAACCTGTAACAATAGCAGTGAGACTAGTGCCATCAGTCCCCTGTGTAACTTCCTCAGCTGTGGAAGATGGCGAGAACCCAGATGGCCCTTTCCGGCTAAACGGCCACATCTCAAAAAAAAAATAACAGATACCCTTTGCCCGCCTGCAAATATTCTACCGTGGTTTTATAGACAGAGAGAGACTGGAAATACTAAATGACCGTGAGGAATAAGAGTCACACACCTTTGAATAGAGTGAGTTGTAATTTGTAGTCTGTATTTTGCCAACGTACATATCTATACCCTACACAGTAGCAACGTCGTAAAAGTCATCTCAAAGGCGTACGTTTTGATGTGAATATCATTATTTTTTGGTAAATGAAATATTTAATACTTCAATTATTAATTTTGATTTATTTTAATATTTAAATTTTTAATATTTTAAAATTTAACGTTAAATTTTAAATGTTGGTGTTAAAATAAAATAAAAATTTTTATTTTTATTTGCGGGACATTAAAATGAAATGAAAACTAAATTTTATGTATAATTTAAAAAAATTAAAGTTTAAATACTAAACACATAATTTATCCATATTGTTTTGATTTGTCAAATGAAGCAGTGAATTTTTTATCAAATTGAGTAGAAAATATTTTAAATTTATTTAATTGATAAATCATATTTTTTTATTGTAATTTTGTTTAATTAGGTTTTATCAAGTTGAGTAAAATAAATATTACGTTGAATAAATTTATTCCAAGTAAATTAAAGAAATATGTTATATTAAAATAGGCTTAAATGTATCTTTGGCCCTTGAAGTTTCAAAAAAATCAATGTGGCCCTTATCGCTTTTTCGGATCAAGATGGCCCTCCAACTAGAAAAAAATAATCCAATATGATCCTTTAACCAACGTTTTCCGTCATTAACCAAAATTTCGCCAATTCCTGCTGTTATAAATTGGGTAAATTACACCATTCATCACTCAACTATTTTCTTCTCTTCTATTTTGGTCACTAAACTCTAAAGTTTTTAATTTCAGAAATCCTAGAGACTTCAGGGACTAAGTATGTAGTTAACCTATTCTACCCCTGTTTCTCTAACTTCTTCCCTCTCCTCCTCGCAGCCGCCGCACTATTGCTCTCAGTCCAGTAAGTTATGGTTTTTGATTCAAAACCACTCGATTTCAGGTCATTCCATGATTTGACTTTGACTCAACCCAATTGATGAAATCAACCTTTCCCAGTTCTTCCAAGAAGTGGCCTCGATAAAGACAACAATGGAGGGGATCACAAATATCGTGTTTGATCTACAAACCCTAAATGAAGAAACAAAGTGCAGTCACAGCGCCAAGTTTCTCCAGGGTTCCGAGACAGGATGGAAGCCGACTCCGTTTCGATTCTCAGAAAAGCAAAAGTTGTAAAGGAAAAGCTGGAATCACTGGACAGATCTAACGCATGCAAATGATGAACCAGGGAAGGGACGTATGTGGACCGAACCATGGTTTCGGTAACAAACGGTTTGAGGCCTAATCTCAAGCAAATGATGAACGATTTTAATGCCTTGAGGGAGAAGATTTTATCTGGTCATAAAGATCACAAGAGAGGATACCACGAAGGCATCGGAGAGTTTCCAGGAGACGACACGGTCGAAAAGACTGTTACCCCCGGCGGCGATATTCGAAATGGATTCGATGAACAAGGAGAGGCATGAAGCCGTGGTGGACATTCAACGGAGTTTGGAGAGGCTGCACATGGTGTTCCTCGACATGGCTGTTATAGTTGAGGCACAAGGGGAGACGATGGAGGACATTGAAGAAAACGTGGCCAATGCCGGTGATTTTATCAGTGGAGAAACCAATCAACATTACTACGCAAATCAAATGAAGAGGTAGAAGACGGCATGCGTTTACTGGGTTTGTGGTGTTTTTGTTCTTGTTGTTATTTTGGTTTGTATAATTCCCATGTTTGCTTCTTGAAAAGCAGCCTTTTTGGGTGTTTTGATTCTGCCATTTGACACTAGTATCAGACTTGGAGATTGCTCTTGAGAAATTCGTTCTTCTTTGGTTTTTTTTTCTTCCATGCATCAATTTGAGTTTAATCCAAATATAATTTTCATTCTGATTTTTGTTCTAGTTGATTTTTTTCCCTTCCATGGAGATTGATTTTGAGTTTCAGTTTTTCCCCCGTCACAGAGAAGAGAATGGAGGTGGGTTTTTTTCCTTAAAATACAATGGGCTAACTACAGCCTTAGTCCCTAAAGTCTCTAGGATGTGTGAAAATGAAAACTTTTAGAGTTTAGTGACCAAAATATAAGAGAAGAAAATAGTTGAGTGGTGAATGGTGTAATTATCCAAAAGGAATTAACGGAATTGTTGGTCAAGGAATTAACGATTATATTGCATCCTCCACGATTCTTCACCACCAAATTAAAGAGATTATAAAACAACATCAAATCATTTGAAAAACAAGAAGAAACGTCATTGAAAAAATTACTAACATTAAATAAACTCAGAGTCCTAAATTGTTATACTTTTCATCATAAAACACTTGTGAGTTTAATTATTTATATTACTCAAATGTTATTTGGGTGGCTGTTTAATTTTGAAAACATATTACTTAAGAGATTCTGATAATTTTCAAGTCTTAATATTTCATTTTGAGAGTTCTTTGGATACGTGTTTCTCATCATTTTTATCCTTCTTTTGGCGAGTGGAAGTTGGATGATATTTAGGGATGGATAATATATTAGATTTTTTCCGTTGAAAAAAATTAGTAAGTTTACGTTTGCTCCTAAAATTTTAAAAGCCTCTCCTGATGTAGAATTCTAAGTCCGTCTCTGGTAACATAATGAATCCTATTATTTCAAAGAAACCACTCAAAATAGCATTGATTGAAAAGACAAATAGCATAAAAGGAATGGATAATATCAGAACATAAGTGTAAATAAAAAGAAAAACCACACAGACACGAGTGAAGATAAATGTTTTTCAAAGAAGAAAAATGGTGGTTTTAAATAGCCCGAGCTTTTATAATGTCGAAGCTCATTTCACTAGGATCCGTAGCCTGCAGCTCAACTTGAATCCCGTCCAATTCCCTCTTGAATCTGTCCTTTGAGCTCGCATACACCATCTTACTCCTCACCCTTGATGCATCTGGTGCCCTGCATTTTACTACTTACCATCAATCCTCTTCTAATGCTAAGAAACAAACCACGTTGAATGAATATAAAAGATTGGCACCAAGCAATGAAGAAAATTTTGCTTTTCTGGCAGTTCTCCGACGTGGTGAAATCGAAATCGAAGACGGCGTAGCGGCACTCGTCCACGGGTAGAGCGGCCGTGAAATCTTCATAGGTCTCGTCGGGGCCGCCGAGTTTGTCGACCACCACCTGCTGGTTGTTGATCTTGAAAACGATGAACCTGTAGTTCCTCTTCGCCTTTAGCTCTAAGAACTTCAGCTTACATTCGTCATCTACTGCCATTCCAGATGCCGCATTCGCCTGTTCCAAGTTTTTGTTATATCAAAACCAATCAATAAGATAAAGGATAAACTACAATTTTAGTACCAGACCATCACTTTTATTCCGTTTTGGTCCCTCGATTATTTGTTTTTTCAGAATCATACTTAATGTCATGTTTGGGTTTCATTTTGGTCATCCACTATTAAAAATTAACCGTGATGTTGATGTGTCACCTTAAGATAATGACACATCATCAATGAACTTCTTTAAAAATGTCACGTCAGTAGTTTTGTTGCTTTTTTAATCGTTGATGACCAAAATGAAACCAAGACATAACATTACGTATAATTTAAAAAAATTGAATAACAAAAAAGATAATTAAAGTACTAAACGTGTTGTTTATGCTAATTTTTTTTTTAAAAAAAGTATGCATACAATGTTGGTATGCAATATCTCGACCCACGCTAACTTATACTATGTTAGTCAGTTTTGCACTATTAAGCTCATGGTTTTATTATAAAAATAATCTATACTGAATTCTAAAAACTTATCTTAAACTCACCTATGAAATAGGTTATGCATGTTGAAATTCGAATCTAAAGTTAATTATAGTACCAGTGAGCTTTCAATTTTGTCAATTATAGCACTGAAATTTGATTTTCGTTTCAATTATACCACTGAACCGTCAAATCGTTAACGAAACAATGGCATGACTGACGGATGCTGATGTGGCTGATGGCTACCGACATAGACACCTCACCAAAACGACATCATTTTGATTGGTTGTTAATGATTTAACAGCTCAGTGGTATAATTGAAACAAAAATCAAAGTTCAGTGTTATAATTGACAAAATTGAAAGTTTATTGGTAGAAACGATACAACAACTAAATTTTAGTGGTATTTGGCGTAGTTTACCCTCTAATAATTTAACGAATGAATGGAGAATAGAACTAAAATCAAAATAAACAAATAAGGCATATTTAAGATATTGGATAATCCAAATAGAAGATGATAAATTGAGAATCCGAAGTGTTACCATTTTGTCGACCAAAGGGGAAACAAAAGCCTAGAGAGGAATGAAGAGGAAGAAGAAAGAAAATGTAGAATGGGGGTAAGGACAGGAAGAGGGATCCTTAATTGAGGGATGATTTTGAAAAACGAGACAAATACGGTGGTGAAGAGAAATTTGAGGGTAAAGCTTCCTAAGGCCTTTAATAATGTCCACAATAACAGTTCTTGTAGATTATCAGTAAACCACGTTGTTGGTTTGCACCCCAACTTTTTTGGCTGCCTATTTTTATCCCCCTTTTTTAATTTTTATTTGGGTAAAGTACATAAATGGTCCTCATACTTTACGATATTGATTTATTAAGTATCTTGACTATTAAAAGTTACAAAAAATCATCTGATTATAGGGAGTTGCTTTGTTAAATATCTTGACTATTAAAAGTTACAAAATGATCACTTGACTATTTATTATGCCTAAACTCGTCATTTTTCGTTAAAAATTTGATAGCAATATGACTTGTACGTTAAACTGCTGACTGAGATATAATAAAATCTTATCTCATAATCTCTAACGATTATCATATCATAGTTGGCATGTTAACGTCCAATTCATGTGACCGTTAATTTTTTAACACAAAAGGACGAGTTTGAAAACATAATGAATAATTAAATGATCATTTTGTAACTTTTAATAGTCAATAGACTCAAAAAACAAACTCCTATAATTAAAAAACTATTTTATATCTTTCGTAAAATAACTTAATAAAATAATATTCTATTATCATTTATGTACTTTACTCTTTTTATTTTTATCAATAAAGAGTTTGATGCACCTAAAACTTATTTATCCCCCCTTTTTTTTTTGTTGTTGTTCCTAGAATACTGGTGCAAGACATTTAAAGCACGCACGCTAGAAAAAGCCCCAGAAAACAAATATATTTTAAATACCATGGCAACCATCTGTCAAGCGGAGCTACGTATTAGTCAAAGTGATTGAATTTTCTTTGATTATTTATTTATTTTATTAATAGTGTTCATCATGAATATTTTTGAGTTTATCTTAAGATCTGAATTTTTTCGATTAGTTACTTATTTTACGGACGGTACTCAACATAAAATTTTATTTATAATTATTTCATTTAAAAAATTTATATTGTTAACATATGTATACATACCTATCATTATCTATCTAACCTGATAGAAATTTTGAAAGATTAGTCAAATCAAAACAGAAATGAATCTTAAAATAAAAAATATTAGTATATTACCACTCGAATGAGGTGGTTTGTCCCGAGCAAAATATAGATTTAATCAGGGATAAATCAAGAGGATATAGATGGGACGGCCGTATTAAATTTTTAAATTCTTATAAAATTTTATGTTTTATTTATATTTTCTATTAAAAATTTATTTCCTCCACTAACATAAACTCATCATGAAATCATTCTGTTCTAGAATTCGTCTCGAAGAAACCAAATAAACAGTGGTTTGCAATTCAATGGTGCACGTTGAACGAGGTTTGTTCCACGCACCGTCCTCTTGGCACCATTGACAGTGGACAGTGCAGTCCTGGGTTGAGAGTAAGTGGTTACGAAGATATAAGATTATTTTGAATTATCCACGCTAGTATGAGTTGATTAATTAAGGATTAAGTTTCTTTAATTCATAAATATGTTGAGTAGATTGAATCCTATAAGCATCTCTATAAGATTGTCTAATTAACTAGAAGATTAGTCATTATCCATTTGATTAACAATAAACTAGGAAGAGATTAACTATTAGACCAACCTATTCAAAAGTTAGATATCTTAAGTTAAAATCTGTTATCGATTCATGAATTAAATTTCATAATTTATTTTGACTAAATATTATCTTATAATTAAATTATAATTTATTCTTAACTGCTTTCTTTTAATTAAATATTTTAATTTAATTTATAATATACAAAATTCCTTATTTTATTTTTATGAAACTAATTTAACATCATTTTCTGTGAATTTGATCATGTTCACCTCTCCTATAAATTTTGTTTTAAACAAAAGTTACTTTTGAAGTGGTTGAGAACTTATTATTTTCGTAATAAACTCCTTAATCAGATTTGTCATTTAACCATACTTTTTAAAATTATAAAATCAAAATTTCGGTTTAGGATGCTCCTGTTATTTTCGTAAGTTGGATGATGTGGTGAGCCAAGTCTATTTAGTAATTTTTCAATAATAATAAAAAAGAAAGAAGAGGATGCCACATGGCATCCTTTCATTGGTCTAGTAAATTTTTTAATGCCGATGAGGCTAAAATATAGGGAAAATGAAAACACTAGTATACTTGGAAGACTATAATAAAACAAAACAAAAATAACATACAAAGTGGAAAAAATAAAGTATATTTAGAAAATCAAATTACATAACTCATCAAATGATCTCAGTAATTTAAAAAAATATTGTTATTTTTAAATATTTTAAATTCGAGTAATTATGTTTGCATAATGTGTTGTCAACGATTAAGAAAAATTATAAACAGATATTACCTTGTAATCACCTTATACTAATAAAACTATTTGAATCCTTTGCTTTCACAACATGTATATTAATATACTCCTAAATTATAACACAAAAACCCGTTACAAATTTAATCCATCTCTTAACTGATTTTAGTCCCACCCTCTACCATAACTTGTATTACTGTCATTTCTATTTTAATCGTACCCTAATTAATCCTACCGTCTAAATACACCCTAAGAAGATTAAATATAATTTATAATTAGCATAATGTCAAAATTAATCGTCAATGCTTATTAAAATGGTTATTTTGGCCCGTAGTCTTTTTTAGAGCATTTTGACTCTGATGTTTCATTTCAAGATAAAGAGGGCCCTGATGTTTATTAAATAATCAATTTAGTCCTCATTCTTTTTCAGAGTATTTTGACCCTCAACATTTCATTTTAGGATAAAATACTCCTATTTTAGAGCTTTACTCATTTGTTAATTAACGGTTTCCACTCATAGAAGGGTATAATTGCCCCAAAATGAAACATATGAGGCTAAAACATTAAAAAAAAAAGGGACCAAAATGATTCTTTTATCAAACGGTAAGGGCTTTTTATTACGTTATGCCTTTATAATTTCAAATTTGAGATGGTTTATACAAATTTCTAGTTAAGGCATAACCGATAGAAATTCATATAATCTTTACCCACATTACTGATTTGCATTCAGAAAACATTTCGAAGCTTGAACATGCTGGATGTTGGGTTCAAACAATTGTCTAAGTAGTAGAAAGTGGAAGCATATCGATAAAATTAACCAAAGAAAGAAGCCTGAATATTTTCATTTCTTTCATACAATTATTCTTAAAACTAATATTTGAACTATAAACTGTTAACATCTACAATATATCTCTAAAAAACTTTATATCACAATATTTTTGTAGAAAATACATTTTTTTAAAGAATTGTAGCAAATATACATAAATAAATGAAATAAGGTCTAAACCACATGCGGTATAACAAATGAGAAAAAATTTCACAGTTGAGATTATTAATTTAGGGGGTGCATTCAAGTGGTAGTATCAGTTTTCCTAGCGGTCTCTGACAATGGCGGATGTATGTACAATCTAAAGTGAACACGTGCCTACTCTGTAATCCGAATTTTTTTATGTTAATTGTTTATTTTACTAAAGGTGTCTACCTTAAAATTTTATTTGTGTTTACTTTTTTTTGTTATTAATATACATGTGTCCACTCTTAAAAATATTTATAAATCTGTCACTAGTCTATGATGCTAGAACTTGAGGCATCTAAGAGTATCTAAAATAGTTTAGTTCGTATATTTGTATGATGAATTTTAAAAATAAAATACAACTTATATCGCATAAATAACTACTGCGTAATTGTAGAATACTATTATTTTTATATTTTATAGACTAGAATTCAACGAAGGAAGAATTGTTATTATTCACTCGTGTTTCATGCCGCTATGTAGATTAGTATATTAATAAAGACAAGGGTAAATTACATGGTTAGTACTTAAACTACTTTTGTTTCATTTTGATATCTAAACTTTTATTTTTTTCATAATCATGTCTAACATTTAATTTATATTTTAATTTAATAACCTTTCGTAAAAAGAATAACATAACTGTTGACATGGATATTTTTATTGGGTAAACTACATTCTTAATACTTAAACTATTACTTTTATTACATTTTGATATTTAAACTTTATTTAATAATTTTTCAAGAATAAGGGAAGGAGAGGATGCCACATGGCGTCCTTTCTCTGGTCTAGTAAAGTTTTTAATGCGGAGGGGGCAAAAATATAGGGAAAATGAGAACACTAGTATGCTTGGAAGACTATAATAAAACCAAAAACAAAAATAACATACAAAGTGAAAAAAATCAAGTATACTTAAAAAATCAAATTATAGAACTCATCAAATAATCTCAGTAATTAAAAAAAATATTGTTATTTTTAAATATTTTAATTTCGAGTAATTATATTTGCAGAGTGTATAGTGAATAATTAAGAAAAAATTTAAACATATATTATCTTATAATCATCTTATATTAATAAAAAAATCGAATCGTTTGCTTTTACAACAGGTGTAATAATATACTCCTAAATTATCGTATAAAAACCTGTTACATAATTTAACCCATCTCTCAACTGATTTTAGTCCCACCCTCTACCATAACTGGTGTTACTGTCATTACTATTTCAATAGCACCCAAATTAATCTTACCGTCTAATACACCCAAAGAAAATTAAACATAATTTATAATTAGTATAATATCAAAATTAACCCTCAATGCTTATTAAAATAGTTATTTTGGGAAACCTCCAATGCTTCATTCTGGAATCTCTGAAACCTCTGAAACTTCCGAACCCTCCAATGTAGATAATGAAAACGCGGCCATAGCGGAAACTACAAAGAAAGTTCGATTTAAAGATTATGAAGATACTGCTATTCAAGACACGGAAACGAAGTCAGCCTCATCAGGACTGCCCTATGAGGTGGTGCTGGCTGGAAAATCTTAGACTGGAGCAAATTATGGCTTCTCTCAAGGACTGGCCGAGGATGAGATCAATATAGCTGATGTCGATATCATTACTGGAACGCAGATGGTACTCCCATCTATCTAATTTTTCGGGTCGAGCCTACAAACTCCTG